GGCGGCCGGATATTGCTGAAACCCGGTACTGAACCAGAGACCTTTCACTCCAGCAGTCTGCATTTGTTTTTATCTAAGTATATTAACAGCAAGTAGATCAGTAGCTTAGGCGTTGTGAGCGCCGACCGTACAATGATCCATCCAATGAGCGTAAAAAATTGTCAAGTGACATCACAAGGTAAAAAGGGGCGGGGCTAGTTCTGCAATGTCTTGACCAGCAACAAACAGGCTACTGAATAGCTTGTTTAGATTATTTTTTATTCTCCCGAGCAAATCTAAACGGGACATGTTTGAATGACTGACGTAAGAGCGTTTCAGTCATCCCAAGAGAGCGCAGCTGGAGAAGAAAAATGCCGCCATATGAGTTTTATTTTGGGCATACAGAATACTACAGCATAACTATAGTCACAACAATTCCAGGCATTGACAGAAAAGCTGAAGAATGATCTAGTACTGCATGCAAAGACCCTTGAACATGTCTACAACTGTGTTTTCCAAAACCTGACTAAAGACACGTACACACCGATGGGTCACTGGTGGGAGCAGAGAAAAAAAAAGCGGAGTTTGGTCATCTTGCTGCAAGATTTGTTTCACACAAGAAACATCATGCCTCCGGAAAACTTCAGAGCAGAGCAGCAAGCAATTATTCTTTCAGCCAAAGTGCTTGAGTAAAGAAAAATTAAAAACTGGAAATTGTTTTTCTTTGTGACTGCATTAAGTCAGGCGACGAGGGATCCACACGACAACATGGAAAGAGAACTGACCCGCCAGCTAAACAGACTCGCAGAAAACAATCACATCGTTCTTCACTGCGGCAAACCAGGAAATGAGTTAGACTTGCTAAAATGGAAGACAGGAGAAAACACACCCATCCATTGTTACCAGAAATCAGAACACTTCTCAGGGGAAAATACAAGGAATTGTGGAGAGAACTAACAGTAAACATCCACAAGAGTCCATTGGCAAACTAAACAGAAAATAACAAAATTTTTCGACGAGATACTGCAGGCTTTAACCACATGCATTAAAAAAAAAAATCATTGTGCAGTCCCCACAGCGCCTGTCAAACAGGACCACAAACATTCTGCAGACCTACCCACTCTACCTGCAACTTCGAAAAGACATCTAGCCTCAAGAGCAAAGTGTGCAGAGAAAGCTATGGGAAACCATGAAGGACCTGCTGCTTACTGACATTCGTTCATAGAGGCACACCTGATGGTCTGATATGAGCATACAAAACCAAACACAAAGAATAAGTGCTCTGCTCAAGAGACAAGGAACTAACAGTCTGCATAAACCAGAACTCCAGTTCTTGACTAAAGACTAGTTGGGAGCAGAGAACAGCCAGATTTAATAGGCGGTGAAGATGAAAAGTGATTATAGGTAGAGATTTACTGCTAGCATTTGTATGTGAGCAGTGTACAATCAATTTTCCTATGCTTCTGAAGCAGGGAATTCATAAGTCTGTTACTGTATCAAACACTGATTGCCTATTTCATCCAGGCGTTGTAATGGGTTGGGCGCATATACACACAAATGAAGCATGTTTAGTACCTTTGGATCAGTGGTTTTTAACCTTCCTAATGTGTCAACTCTTAAAGTTCATATGGCGGGTCTATGGCGACCCCTGTGAAAGGGTTGTTGGACCTATGGGTTGAGAATCGCTGCTTTAGATCTTCACATTGTTAATCTAACAACACTAGAGAAAAGGGTTTCAGGGGCGTCTCTGCTCATGGACGATTGGTCTGGACTTACAAGAATATCTTCACGTTCACTTGTAAAGCCCAGCAGAAAGTTCTGGTTGTTTATCTCTGGACCTCAATCTTGTCCCAGAACCCAAATGTTGTGTGCTGCACATCCATACTGTGTGCAGATTGTTGGCTCCTTGCTTACAACTTGCTTATGGAGACGCAGTGGGTCTATTTCCTTGAGTCTAAAGAATACCAGCTCAGTGCAGACTCTGCGAGGATCCTGTACTACTTTAGGTAGTTTTGTTTTTTAAACTTTAAACTTTGCCCGTGCAGCGTCATCAGACTAAACTATTTACAAATACCAAGGGAGTTTTTTTTACGTGCGCAGCAATATACACTAGCGTCTAATCTTACAACCCAAAGACCAGGGGAAATTACTAGGTTTATGTGAAACAATCCTAGCCTTAATCGGGTTGTAAACCCGGAGCTCTAGCACTTGAGGCGACACCATACACTGAGACCACTCAACCCCTAAAGTGAAGAAATACATGTTAGGGCAACCACTAGTATCAACTTATTTTAAGACAGTGAAGACGGTTTACTAAATTATCAGAGCTAAAGATGCTGAACTAGACTGCATGCACGATATTTAAAGACAGGTTAAACCCTCCCCTCCTTCAAACTGAAACTAACTAATAAAACAATTTTAATGGGCCTTATTTACTTAATGTAGAAGAAAGAAATCAGGGCAAAGCTATGGCAGTGTTACATCTCCTAGATTTGATCAAACATGTAAAACAGCAGCTGAATAAGGGAATAAAATGGACAAGATAAAAAAAATAAAAAAACGCAAGATAAAGTATTCAGACCACTGAGGCTGACTCAGACAGCAGGAAAAGTTTTGAAAAATAACCTGGTCAGTTTCTTTTTTAAAATTTCTCTCCAAATCATAATTTCCTTACTGCGCTGTGCAACAATATCTAAGTTAACATACTGTATCTAAATTCGGCACACACACATAGGTAACTAACACAAACAGATTGAACTAGATAAAATTTTAGCAGCTTGAATACTTTTTTGGGGTTTTTTGTCATCTACAATAACCCTTACCCCTAATTTTGTTTGTCAATTGTCTTTGGTTAATGTGTGAACATTTGGCTATTGTCCAGCATAAAATAAGTTTTCAAATCAATATCCGTGAAAATATGTTCATTTTAGCCTCAAATTAATTATCCTTTAATCTTGTACCAGTATTTATCTACATAAAGAATTGTTTCCAGCAGATATAATCTACTTTAATTGGGGGAGGGTGTTCAACCTGCTATGGACAGAATCAAACAGAAACAAGACTGCAAATGATGTTGGATATATCATGGCATAGCAGGACAAGGATGTCTAAATCAACATCAGAGCACTCTGGGAAACTAGGGGAAAGTGATAGTTCCCCCATCCTCAGCAGCAAGCGAGGGTGATGATCCCTTTTACAACTTTATTGTACCAAATGTGAATGAAATCACCAGATGCTAAATGATCATGCAGAATACCAAGACACTGAACACAATGAAATGTGAATCATTTGGTGAGTTCCTTATCAAAATTGTTAATAATTGTAACCACAAACATCTAATGGGGCTAGGTATATGTTTAATTTGGTTATGATAAATTATAATTATGATGCTGATTATTTGAAGGTCACAAGTTAGTTACTTAGAAAGGAAAAGTTTGCAGTTATCAGATGTCAACTCATAAATGACAGTATTCAACCTGATGTAATGCATGATACAATTGGACCTGTGTCATGACAAATTTAACCTATTTTGGTTTGTGTGTTAACTACCAGAGTTTGAAGGTATTTTATTATGTAAAACTAAGCCTCCCAAAAGCATATTTTCTTTATAATTCACTAAATAATAAAAATCAACCCCCCCCCCCCCTTTTTTTTTAAAGTTTGGGAAAACTGCCAAAAAACTCCAGAAGGCTAAGGATACCAGAGGCAAAAAATCAAGATAAAAGTACTCACTTGTGATATTTAATTAGTCAATGTCCTATATGTGAAGCTATTTGCAAGTCCACAAACTTAAGACAAGCATTTGACAACCAATCATAGACAAATACAGCTGCTAAAAAACCACTCATGTTTATTACACAAACGATAAGGTCAAAGTAAAAATGAAACATCCATTTGCAAGTCGGACAAGACTCAAGACAAGAAGGAACAAATGAGATGTGAAAATGCGAGGTCATGAATGAATGGATGTGTTGATGTTCAGGTAATGGTAGACGACACATAAGGTGCCTTACGTCTGCTCGTGTTGATGATGGAAGAGTGTGGAGCATACACTAAAATATCTCTGCAGGTCTTACCAACTCCATAAAACTAACCATATAATGCAGGCAAATACATCCAACAAATATAATCTGGCTAAACTAAGATTCAAGACAGGCACATTTTTATGAGGCATAGTAAAAATCCTTTTAAAATTATCTTTCAAATCCACATCTATTTTCTACACATCCCCAAACTTAAACCAAACTATTGTAACCAAAATCAAATTGAATATGGTACATATTTTTAAAGTGTGTGTCTTCTTTGACAAATAACTATAAAATAACTAGACATCATTTGCAATAGACAATAACACTAATCTTATAGGGAAAAAACATAACATGTTACCTATCTAACTACCTGAGCCGAGTCCTTATACCTTAGAAGTGTGCCCGATTGTGGCTGCTAGTGGGGCCCTAAAGCTGCATTTGATGAACACACTGTGACTAGATAGGATGTGTCTTCTGCCTAGGCTGAGAGCCATACAACCCTATCTAAGCCTGATGACTGCCTGCTTATTCATCGTCTCTAGTAGCCTTAACTCTGCTTACAACCTGCCTGCCTAAATAAAGTAAGCAAAGGAAATAGGAGTTAATAAAGAGCCACCTGTAATAAGAAATAAATTAATGACTACATCAGAAAACAAGATACATTACCAACATCTGAAGCACAATTAGATTTTTCATAAATCTTTAATATTTACATTATTCACAAATTTACAAGTGATGAGATTGTGATTAAATTTTCAGCTTTACAAACACTATTTTTAAAATATACTTATCAAGCAAGGATTTCAACTGCAGCCAAACATTTTAATAGTTATGCTTATATTAGGGATGATATTTAAGTATTAGGGAAAGCAAAAAAGTGGCATGTATAATTACATGAAGTAATGATGTATGTAGGTAATGCTAATAATAATGCTGCCATGAAGTGAAAGCCCTGCTTGTGACTAGACTTACCTGCTGGTTCTGTAAAAGCATTTATCGCCTGAATCCACCTCCACCATAGCCGCCGCCACCACCACTAGACTGTCCATAACCACCTGTAGAAAACATGAATATTAGCAAAAACTGACTGAATTATAATCAGTGACATTCAGAAGCTTTGACTTGCCATCTTCATGGATTACACCAAACCATAGGCCAATAACCCTATGATAATCTTTGCTGCTTAGTGTTTAAGTCTTGGTTGTTCGTCCACATCTGGCCCATTTTATGAAGACCAACTCTCTGGCAGCTGGACAACTGAACTAGTCGATTGTGTCTTGTGACATATCATGGTGTGTGAGAGGGGGAGAGAGTTAAGGTAGATTTGGTAGGATGAGCCTAAGGAACCCAAAGGAATTGAGCTAAAAATAACCTTTCATGTTTACTTCTCCCTTTCATGTCAGGTTATGTCTAAGGTATTTGGTGCCAGTCTTGGACATTCCATCCATTTACTGCTTGTGTGAAACAGTGTAACACACAGCAAGCAAACTTAATATTCTGATAACTTACAAGGTTAAAAGAAATAGTTTAACAGCACTCACCTCCATATGGCCCCTGACCACGTGCAGAATAGCCGCCACCCTTGACTGGGCCACCCCCATAATCTCCACCATAGTTTGATCCGAATCCCCCAGCACCTCCGCCGCCTCCCCAGCTACTGCCTGTAGAATAGTGTGACAGACATGTTAGTGATTACTGGGTTTTTAAAAAAAAAAGTAAATTAATTTTATAAAACAACTAAACATTGCAAAATTTTAGAAGCTTCCCTCCTGCACCCTCTAGACGTAAAAAAAAAAAACATCATCTGCAACTTATTGACTCAAAACCTGAGCATCTGAACATTTTTAAGCAGAAATTTTCAATTATTTATAATGTATGAGCATGGTAACATAATTCATAATACTAAGGAACCTACTATATACTTGACTTTCCACTATACAGTAACATTCCAGCATATTTTTTTTTAGAAAGCTTACATCCCAGTCGATTTTTCTTATGTCAGTGTGGCAAACGTTATACATTTTCCTATGTGGCTACAGTCAAAACTGACTGGTTTAACATTAATCACTTACTGTAATCGCCATAACCACCGGAACCTCCCCAACTCTGTCCACCGCCATAGCCTCCTCCATATCCGCCGCCACCACCACTGTAGGCACTGCCTCCATAACCACCTCCTAGAAGAAGAAACATTTTTGTTAGAGCTAATAGTAAAGGAAATTACCCTGAATTTTTTTTAAAAAATAGCATTACACATGTAAAATTTAAAAGGTTTTGCAAAGCAAATACTTTCAAACAACATAAATTATCTGCCAAAACTATTCAAAACAGGTTTCCTCTAGGATAAGCTTTTCCAGTGAGTAGTGACTGCAACTCACCGTAGGACCCATTGGAACCATATCCACCAGAGGCAAAGCTGTCACTAGATCTGCCTCTCCCCCTGCCGGCTGAGCCACCACCTCGACTTGATCCTAAACAGAGAATTGAAAAGAGTTACTAAAGCATCTAATGTAAAACCAGTGTCAAATAGGCTCTGGGGTCATGTAAAGTAGCTACTTCAGTCAAATTTTTAAAATGCCCTCTACACCAATAAAACCAGCACAGTTAGATAGCTGTAAACAATCTCTTTCCAATGGTACCTCATTTAGGCTTGTATGTCATTTCTGAGCTGAGATATGTAGGTTTTTGTGGAGATGAGATGTAAGAAACAGCCGCTAAAACTTGTGACCCAGAAACAAGAAGTTTTTTACTGCGCAACCTACTGCGCAGTTCTGTATCGGCTTTGTTGACATTGGACTGTCATTGGACAAGATGGCAGGCAGTGAGACTCAGCTCACTCAGCCGCATGCGATTGCCTAAAAAATGTCACTGTAAATCTAAACAGCCAGAGTCGGGAAAAAAAATTTAATATGCAAATGTAAAATTGGACGGAGAATTCAATTGTAACTAGCATTACCACAACTGGTAATGTTTAAGCCTAAAGCCAACCTCGAATTTACCGCTATTTTCAATCAAACTGATAGACTAACAGAAAAACAGAATGTCCGGCTGTCGTAGACATGCGCTGTTGATCGGGTTCCTTCCCGCCGTTTTCAGCTATTTAGAGTGGGTGAAAATCACATCAATGGCAAAATTTCATGAGAGATTAGGACCCATCCCGAAACCCCAGCCGACATTTCCGAAACAAGTTTTAAACGGTTTCTATGGTAACGGAAATTGTCGAAAAGATAGCAAATTTCCGGATCTGTGGTCCCTAATGTAAAGTTCACCAACTTTTTAACAAGGGTTTATTTTTTAAGGTATATTTACCTTGTTTAAGGGTGTACATGGCATGTGCAGTTTTTTTATTTGTGTATACGTTTCAGTATGTTGCATTTACATCCGTTTTTCATATCTGATTTATCTATATGCAGATGCACTCCAACATGCTGGGTAGGCAGTGGGTCTATTCTGGTTTTTTTTGGGGTCTCCGAACCCACATGGGAAAAATACATCAGAAACTAAAAAAAACATGCCCGTCATTACATTTTAAAATAAATTTCTAAATTTAATTAGTAACGCTGGGTCCCTTAAGGTCATTGTGTTATCATGAAGGCTACACAAAAAACTAGAGCCATATATTACTTTAATAAGAGCAGCACGTCATACAGGAGATACCACATATGGTATCCACCAATATTCTAAGACCGTCCATGTTAACAGCAAAGGAGTTTAATAAAACAATGAAATCTTAGTACATACCATCCATTTGATCTTTTGAAACAGCTTTCTTTACTTCGACTCTTCTCGTGTTCAATTCGTGTCTTTTCAATACTGAAAATGTATTTAAAATATTTCTATACAATATGTACATGTCATATATACAACAGATTCATTATCACTATTTAGATGGTGGATTAGTAGCACTGCCCTGCAGGTTCAAGTACAAACATTTCATAGACCTTTAGGGCTCAGAGATCTTTAGAAAGTCGAAGCTACAGAGTTTCATTTTTTGTGTGATACTCCATATGCATAATCAGCTGTTTTGAGACTTGCGACCATACAGGATGACTGGTGCAATGTCAACCCATCACTTTAGAAGATGTCACATGATAGGATTCAGATTAATATATCAAATGATTAAACAAAATTTAATTGTTTCTTCTACACTGGTCCTGTATCGAGGCCGTACGACTATACAGCCTGAACTAGTCTATCACCAAACTACTATTCCTTATAAGCAAGAGCCACAGCCAGCGCCTTGTAGTGACTGAGGTCTCTTGGTAGAGGTCATAGCTGCCCTGATCATTTGAGCATTTCAATGATGAGAAATGTAGTCAACCACCCAACCTTTGTATGTCACATGCTGACCTAAAGTATTGAGCTTAAGCCTGCATCGAACACCCCCCACACTGGTCAAGTCAACTCAATAATTACTATCTGGTCACATCCTGGGTAGTAAAAATAACCAGCGTGCTGTTCATATTACCTACGAACACCCAATTAGTGTATACAAATATTATTAATTATAACAATTTCATTACATGTCTACTAATATGCAATTGACATGAAAAAATCTTACTACTTTAACAACTGTGGAAAACTGTTTACTTACAAACTGCTTTGTCGACAGAGTCATAATCTTTGTAGGTGACAAAGGCGAACCCTCGAACCTTGCCTGTGGCTTTATCAGTAACAATGTCAACACTGTCGATTTCCCCAAACTGGCCAAAGACGTCCCTCATCTGCTCTTCTGTGGTATCGTCCTTGAGGCCGCCAACAAACATTTTCTTCACTGACTGGTGATTGCTTGCTCCATCGGCCTTTGTAGACAAACAAATCATGTCTTATTACCACAATGCAACACAGAAAACACTTTGCACTAGAACTCTAGTAAATAGGTTAAACAACTTACAAACAGAGAAAGAAATTAAGTAAAGCCAAAAATAGGGATAGGAAGGTGATAAATGACAGGATCTGTGCCCCAGCCAGAAGACTGGACAGAAGCAAAGGAAAAAAAGATGATTACTGTGCTGTGTTAAACTTAATTTTATAAAAAGCCTATGATAACTTGATAGCATTTCTATTAGAGACATGAGGACAGAGCAACTGCAACTGAATGAATGCAAAACAGAAAGGATCTTACATCTCTTGGCATTGCCCTTTTTGTTTCCACTTCTCTGTTGTCAATTTTGTGTGGCCTGTTGGCCTGGGCCTCGTCAATCATAGAGGCTTCCTTGTATGTGATGAATCCAAAACCTCTTGATCTGCAACATAATTAAGACAGATGTCTGTCAACATGCTTAAACAGTGAACAATGACTGATAAATTACATTAAGGTAGTTGTAAACAGATGTTTTAAATTACTGTGATTTTCATGTATGAAAATATTCACCACAAATTAGCTAAAAGTCTCCCTATATAATTTTAAGCTATCCGAATAACGGGCACAAAAGATGGCGGCCGCGAAAAACACCCTAACAGAGCCTCAGTCACATGTCTGAATTGCGCACTTTGTGCGACTTAATTTGCAGTTTTCCGGCGACTACTGCCACCGCCGAGGGTATCCCCCACGCAGCGTGGATGGGGCTAAACTAGATGGCTGGGACTCACGAGCAGCAACTTCCGCATCTCCTGCAGCTTTGCTCCTGTATCCTAGCCATCTAGTTTAGCCGGAAGTGACCAAGTGGCACGCGACTGAGGCCCTGTTTTTGGCCGCCTTCTTTTGTGCCTGTTATTTGTAGGATAGCCTAATTTCATATCAGACATGTGGAAGTGCTGAATCACATTGGTTGTGCACCAGGACTTTAGCTGACCCTGGTCAAGCACTAGCTACACCTCTGCAGTTATTCTAGAATTAGGTTCCCAACTGGTAGTGTGAAAATAAATATGATCAACAATTTATCTGAAGTGAAGTATCTACCTTTGTGGCAAGTAACCAATAAGCTGACTAGATCTGTCAGATAAAACGATAAAAGTCTAAGAACAAGACCAAAATCCTAAGTGATTGAACAGCTAAGACTTTGCCAGTGATGGTGAAGATTAAATAGTCTAAGTTGCAGATTACCTTTTCTAAAGTTTGTTAGACCAGAATACAAAGCTTCTACCCAACTCAATACCCACAAGTGGCCAATTTCATTTTCAACTGTACAACTACAATAATTATTTTAATGACACTTGCCCATAAAACAGTTTGTTTTTTTATTTACCTCTTTGTGTTTGGGTCGCGCATGACAACACAGTCCACAATCTCGCCCCATCCCTCAAAATGATTTCGCAAGCTTTTTTCATCTGATTCGTAACTGAGTCCTCCAACAAAGAGCTTCCTGAACTGCTCAGAGCTTGTGTCAGCCTGGTCATCACTATATCTGCCACCGCCGCCTCCTCTACCACCACCTCGCCCTCTGCCACCTCCGCCGCCACCACTGAAGCGGCCACCGCCACCTCCATATCCACCACCGCCGTAGCCGCCGCCACCACCTTGAAACTGGAAGATAAAGACAGAAATATATACAAAGATGGCTACTTTGCTATATATACCTGTAATCACTGCACACAAAACATTGACACACCACAGTATAAGTATGTATTGTGTTATAAACAGTATCTACTGGCAATGCCACTTCAAGGTTTCTTTACTGGAACCAGAAGGTAACATTTATGGAAGCAAATCAAAGATATAAAAAAATATGGAACAAATGTTTTAATGGAAAAACTGTTCCACAACTAGAATTAGACCTACTAGAATCTCTTAACAGTTCAAGTGTTTGGTAATAACTAAACCTAGCTCCTCCCCCCACCCCCCCAACTGTACCACTGAAAGGGTGGTCACAATGTGGTTACAGCTAGGCTGCTGAGCCGAGCCTTATGGTTTAGCCAACACTGAATTGTAAAACTTTAGCAAAAACCTTTTATTTAAGTGCCCACCACCATCATGGTGACCAAGCCTAATTGCTACTTTGCTCCTTTTTCATTATTATTATTACTGGTAACAGCTAACAATTCTTACTATTAGGCGGACGTTTGTGTATATAAATTTATACGCGTATATAAATTTTAGACATGGCAGACACACAGAAACTGAAGAATGTGACATATTTGTGTCCAGGAACCTTTAAATATAAAATGTTGCACATAGTACACACACAGAACTACTGCCTTTTCTTGTGCATGCTAAAGCAAAGTTCATTTAAGCATATTAATCTATTATGCAATATTTGCTTTAAAATTATACAGGTTTCAGTAAAACGTCTAATAAACGACCGTCAAAGTCGCCATATTGTCTAGACTAGCGGTTAAGCCTGCTTAAGCGGTATCTACAAGAAAATTCAACTTTACATGTACGACTTTGAACAGACAAAAAAAATATAAATAAGCTATGGTATCGTCGGTATCATTTTGCAGTTACATTTCCTTAACATTAATTTAACATAAAGCGCTATCGTTCTCTAATAAAATAAGCAATTCCAGCAAACACGTGCGCCTGCCGGACCGCCATTAATGATTAGGATATGGCGAACAAAGACAGACATGAACTCACACACACGGCGTAGTTACATCAACTTCAATTTAAATCCAACATAAATAAAATGCAAACACACATACGATACTATATATAGTGTAAGAAGTTACCAATGAAGCTTTTATTTTAGCTGTCATAAAACTTACCGGCATGATTTTATGAAGCTGATAAAAGTTGAAGAAATAAAACTCAAACGTTCAGACCGTCCGCTCGTTGGGAGAGAGAAAGGATGTTTGACCAAAACGAGGCTGTATATTAGCATATATGTTAATTAGCTACCGGAAGACGTACGAGATTTTAAAATTAGAAAAAAAATGTTTTTTACCAAAACGAATTATTTTGTATTCTTTTCTAAATTGTAATTAATGTTTACAAATTAACTTATGTTATATAATATATTATTTAATTATAGATGTGTGTATGAAATCTGTATTTACAGATAATGACGTCATCATATGTTATTGTTGGTTATGTCTCTTCGGAGGCGGCGTCAGTGTTGCCACTTCGGATCTTTTATATCCAAATTTAGATCTTTTTCATTGCATTTAGATACTGTTTTTGACGTTTAGATCGTAAATATTTTTCTAGAAACTTTTCATATGGAGTAGGATATTTTATGGATTTTTTTTCTTTCATTGCCAATTTAATAATTACTGTGTAAAATATTTACTACAATATTTTTGTTTTGGTCTGGCACATACACTGTGACAACTGCCATTACTTGAACTTTTAACTCTCACTGGGGTCAACGCACAAATATCTGGCAGCCCCGGTACTGATTAATAAAAACGTGCGTAAATCATACTAACTTTGATTCAACCGTATCCTCATTGTGCTGACTTTGCGGTTCTTTTTAATTGTGATTAAAAAAAATAATTGCTCACCTTCTTATGTGGCTTTCACTTTGAAAAAAACCTTTCAACATGTCAAAAGTAAAGTATGAGCAAAATATTTTGAAAGAGTGGTTGCAAGATGACAAAATTAAAAACTGGGAATCTGATCAAAGCTTGTTGTAAGTAAAGCGAAAATACAAAACTCAAAGAGTCATGCAGAGACTAAAAAAGCATAAAACTGCAGTTTTATTTAAAGATATTACACCACTGACATCTGTTTTCAGAACTATACTGATAAATGAATCATCAAAAGTTGAAGTATCAGTCGCAATGTTTTTAATTTGTCACTGCGTAATTACAAACTGTGACCATTTGATCGATTTGTAAAAAAAATCTTGGACTAGTTCAATTTGAAAAGTCCCCCGTGTGGTTTCCGGGGCCCCATTGTGGGGAAAACAAGAATAGACCCACTGCCTCCCCAAAAGCATTACGTAAGAGTCGACTAATTGGGGAGCTTCCTTTGAAGTCGGAGTGCATCTGCCGGAGAGGCAAGGAACCAACAGTCTGTATTCAAGAGAATGAGATCTGTAAAACTGATGCACACGCAACACTCAGCTTCTGGAGCAGGACTGCAGTTCAGTAGTGGACGAGCAACCAGAACCTTCCGCTAGAGTTTACAGCTGGTGAACGCGAAGAAGAAGAAGAAGAAGAAGAAGAAGAAGAAGAAGAAGAAGAAGAAGAAGAAGAAGAATTTGAAAAGTGTGATGTAGAAAGTATAGTTTAGGAACTGAAGGACCTTTTAATCAGCAAACAGTTAGGTTTGAAGAATTTGGCTGTAATTGGTACTGAAAATGCCTCAGTGATGGTTGGTATAAACAATGGCGTTTATGCCAAGTTGAAGGAAGCTAACCCATCGTTAATACTTATAAAATGTATGCGTCATTCATTGCACCTAGCATTATCAAATGCTTCATCTAAATATTTACCAATGAATTTGGAATACCTTATTGCTGAAACACTTTACTGGTTTTCCAAATCATTTGTCAGACAACAGCAATACAATACATTTTTTACAGCCTTGAATGATGGTTCCACACCACCGAAAATTTTGTCAGATTGCAAAACTAGATGGTTATCAATTTAACCAGCTGTTGAAAGAATTATGAAGCAATGGCTGAAGTTGAAGACACACTATGAAATAGCAAGACGTAGTGAAAAGTGCTAAACAGCTGAAATACTTTATGGAATGTACAGTGATGAAAAAAATTGGTCATTCATTCTTTTTTTTATAACCTATTCTATTGGAAGTGCAAAAAGTTAATTAACTGTTCGAATCTAAACTTGTTGATAAAGTTAAATTACTTGATGATCTCATCTTGCTATTTCACTCGGTAAAAGACTGGTGTTGCCAACTTCTAAAGCTGATTTGCTCACTTGCACTATAGAGAGCAATTTGGCTCCTAAGCCACACCTTGGATATTAAGTCGAATCAAAAATTGATGATTTAAAAACAAAAGGACTGTTAACAGAGAATGAAGAGAACAACTTAAGAAAACGCTGTCAAGATTTCCTTATCTCATTATTGAAGCAATTGAAGCAGAGACTTCCTGAAAATCTAGATGTTTTGAAAAATATTTCACTTTTTTCTGTGAGCAACATACTTCAGCCAATAAAGGACATACCTAAATATTGTAAAGTTATGAAATTTTTAGGGGCTACTGATAATAGTGTCGCGGAAACAGAATATCAATTAACCAAAATAAATGTAGCTGAATGGACAAACAAAACGTAAACTAAAGCGTTTTGGAGTGAAGTGAGACAATTTAAAGATGCCTCATCAAACAGTCCATTCTGTAAGCTCTTTAAAGTGCCTTGTCTGCCATGATACTACCCCACTCAAATGCTGACGTAGAAAGAGTTTTCATTGCTAGGAATTATATCAAATCTAACCTAAAAAACAGGATGAAATTTGACCTCTTAAATGCTATCGTGCCATTAAAATTCGGCCTGATGAGACTAGAGAAATAAGCCTACTGTTCCACTTTTAAAAGAAATTTGAACAGCTAAAGCATACCAGGGTCATTTTGGATCTGAAGCTTCAACTTCATTATCCAAGCTAAGTTTATCCTGTGGATCTTGTGAGGCAGACATCAGTGAAGGTGAGGACATGATTATGTAGGGTAAGTCATAACAAAATTTATGTAATTTTTGACTTTTTCAATTTGGATGTTTTTTCTAGATCTTTTCCACGCAGATTTAGATCTTTTTAGATATTTTTTGACACCGTTTTGGATATTTTTTGTCAAAGAAAAGTGGCAACACTGGGCGGCATGCTTCATGCTTTTCTCCAATGTCACGGTATAAGGCTATAAGGTTTGAACAACTTATCAACACCATGGCACATAAGTGCTCCGTTCTTCTTCTAACTTAAGTCTGAGTAAGAAGAAGCTTAGCACCGGTGAGGATTCTGAGTAGATTTTCAACAAATTTTGCCCGGGCAGCGCCGTTAGGCTACTCTTTTCGATTTTCAACTGTCAAGGGATTTTTTACGTGCACGATATTACACACGGGCGTCTGATGTCACTACTCAGAGACCCGGAGGAATTACTAGAAGTCCACGTGGAAAAAACCTAGCCCTTACCGGAGATTAAACCCGAAATCTCTAGCACTCGAGGCGGACACCATGCCCCGAGAACAAGCAGCTCCCTTCCAATATCACGCAATCGTGTTAATGTTAGGGATTCGTCATTGGCCACTAGCTCAGTCCCTACAGTGTTGATATATTATTTGTCCATGCTTCTTCCCAAATGCGTGGGTGCATTTGCTTGCCAGTTGGTCCGCTCGCTCATTACCCTTTACGCCAGCATAACCACATGTGTATATCGAAGTGAGGGAGGTTAAGTACGATTTTCCAATACTTTCTACCCATTCAGGGCGCCTACCGCCTGTTTATATTTTCTGAAGCATATTCATGGAGTCTGATACAAGTATTGCTTGTGTGGCTGTTGGCTCTGCTGCCCATGCTAGTGCTCTAGAAGCAGTGGCTCTGTTACCCATGCTAGTGCTCTAGAAGCAGTGGCTCTGTTACCCATGCTAGTGCTCTAGAAGCAGTAGCTCTGTTACCTATGCTAGTGCTCTAGAAGCAGTGGCTCTGTTACCTATGCTAGTGCTCTAGAAGCAGTGGCTCTGTTACCTATGCTAGTGCTCTAGAAGCAGTGGCTCTGTTACCCATGCTAGTGCTCTAGAAGCAGTGGCTCTCTTACCTATGCTAGTGCTCTAGAAGCAGTAGCTCTGTTACCTATGCTAGTGCTCTAGAAGCAGTGGCTCTGTTACCCATGCTAGTGCTCTAGAAGCAGTGGCTCTGTTACCCATGCTAGTGCTCTAGAAGCAGTAGCTCTGTTACCTATGCTAGTGCTCTAGAAGCAGTGGCTCTGTTACCTATGCTAGTGCTCTAGAAGCAGTGGCTCTGTTACCTATGCTAGTGCTCTAGAAGCAGTGGCTCTGTTACCCATGCTAGTGCTCTAGAAGCAGTGGCTCTCTTACCTATGCTAGTGCTCTAGAAGCAGTAGCTCTGTTACCTATGCTAGTGCTCTAGAAGCAGTGGCTCTGTTACCTATGCTAGTGCTCTAGAAGCAGTGGCTCTGTTACCTATGCTAGTGCTCTAGAAGCAGTGGCTCTGTTACCTATGCTAGTGCTCTAGAAGCAGTGGCTCTGTTACCCATGCTAGTGCTCTAGAAGCAGTAGCTCTGTTACCTATGCTAGTGCTCTAGAAGCAGTGGCTCTGTTACCTATGCTAGTGCTCTAGAAGCAGTGGCTCTGTTACCTATGCTAGTGCTCTAGAAGCAGTGGCTCTGTTACCCATGCTAGTGCTCTAGAAGCAGTGGCTCTCTTACCTATGCTAGTGCTCTAGAAGCAGTAGCTCTGTTACCTATGCTAGTGCTCTAGAAGCAGTGGCTCTGTTACCTATGCTAGTGCTCTAGAAGCAGTGGCTCTGTTACCTATGCTAGTGCTCTAGAAGCAGTGGCTCTGTTACCCATGCTAGTGCTCTAGAAGCAGTGGCTCTCTTACCTATGCTAGTGCTCTAGAAGCAGTAGCTCTCTTACCCATGCTAGTGCTCTAGAAGCAGTGGCTCTGTTACCCATGCTAGTGCTCTAGAAGCAGTAGCTCTCTTACCCATGCTAGTGCTCTAGAAGCAGTGGCTCTGTTACCCATGCTAGTGCTCTAGAAGCAGTAGCTCTCTTACCCATGCTAGTGCTATAGAAGCAGTAGCTCTCTTACCCATGCTAGTGCTCTAGAAGCAGTAGCTCTCTTACCCATGCTAGTGCTCTAGAAGCAGTAGCTCTCTTACCTATGCTAGTGCTCTAGAAGCAGTAGCTCTCTTACCCATGCTAGTGCTCTAGAAGCAGTAGCTCTCTTACCTATGCTAGTGCTCTAGAAGCAGTAGCTCTCTTACCCATGCTAGTGCTCTAGAAGCAGTGGCTCTGTTACCCATGCTAGTGCTCTAGAAGCAGTAGCTCTCTTACCCATGCTAGTGCTCTAGAAGCAGTAGCTCTCTTACCCATGCTAGTGCTCTAGAAGCAGTGGCTCTGTTACCTATGCTAGTGCTCTAGAAGCAGTGGCTCTGTTACCTATGCTAGTGCTCTAGAAGTATTAACTCTGTTACCTATGCTAGTGCTCTAGAAGTATTAACTCTGTTACCCATGCTAGTGCTCTAGAAGCAGTGGCTCTGTTACCTATGCTAGTGCTCTAGAAGCAGTGGCTATCTTATATTCATGCCTGACGTAGTTGCCAGGTAAGCGCGGCTACCCTCTTTTATGATTTTCTTCGTCCTTTTATATGACCTTGATCCGCGCTTTACAGACCTATCTGTGTAAATGGTGATGTCTTCAGATAGAAATGCTGATCAATCAGTACCCTTACCTCATTGTCAACTGCCGCAGGAATCTGATTCCTGCAGTACCTCCCCAGTATAATACAAACCTTTAGAGATTTTACGCATGTCTGTCTACTCGTGTATTCGTCCATTCTTTTCCGTGAACTCTGCACTGGCTGCTGAAAATGGCGACGGAGCGTTAATGGAAATGCCCCAAGTCTGGTAGTCTTAGTTTCAGCTTCATAGCAAACGGGTCACCCCGTATAGTATAGCTCTCTATATACAGATATCACAGTTATCTTCTTCTTTTTTGCGTTCACCAGCTGTAAACTCTGGTGGAAAGTTTTGGTTGTTCGTTCACTTCTGGACTGCAGTCCTATTCCAGAACCTGAGTATTGCATGTGCAACCGTTCTGACACATTTGTGTGCAGACTGTTGGTTCATTGCCTCTCAGGCAGATGTACCCCGACTTCGAAGGAAGCTCCCATTTGGTCGACTCTTACGACATGTTTTTAGGTAGGCAGTGGATCTATTCTTGTTATCCCTATAATAGGGCCCTGGAACCCACACGGGATATCAGTTATAACCAAGATAGGTTCAACAGGACATTATTGACTAAATTACTATGCTGACTATAGCTGACAGTGAGAATGACTAAAGCAAATTCCTTTGGAGAAAGAACAGAAGCTGTCTCTGCTCAATATCGGCGGCGGCTAGGACCCTCATTGCTGTTAGGCTTTTGCGTGCTTTTATTTCATGGTCAACATGTTCTTTGAAAGACAGACGGTGTCCAAACCTCACTTCGAGTAGTATATAAGTTAATTACGAGTTAATTTTATTCCTTGCTTTTTCCTTCTTTAGGCTTTGCTAATTGCGGCTCAGGCGGAAGATAGAGGCTCAGTATAAAGATATATGAAAAAAGCATGTTTTCCATCTCCCGATTTGGCCTTTTGGGGTCTCCGGCAGCTCGGAGAGGATCAGTGTAGAAAGTATATGTCTGTAGCAGAATTATACAGATACGTGATAAAACAGAGTAATATGACACTAGACATATAAGCTATATAAAAGAAAAAAAGAAAGAGAGGTGTATTGATTGGCTTAGTGGAGTGGGAAAAGAAAGTATATATCTTACATAGTCAAATATATCAAAGTGATGAGGGGGGGGGGGGGGGGAAGGGTGTTAGCTGGAACTTATGGGTGGCTTTTGACCAATCAGCATTATCAAGTGCCATGCCAACCCACTACCCCCATAACAAAGATGATGTGTACCGGCTAAGAAAGGGTCTCCTAAAATCAGACGTGTTGGGTTGAAAGTACATATATTTCATCCTAGCTGTAAAAACCTATAATGCCAAAGAAACTTTCAACAGCGAAATCAGAAGAAGAAAAAGGAGCCACATGGGTAGACATTTGGCTATCCTCCAAATAACGGTCCCAAATAATCGAGGCTAAGAAAATACACTTACAGGGCCTCAGTCATATGTAAATTGCGGACCTCTTTCCGGCGACTATACCGCATACAGCGGAAAAGCTTCCGCCGAGTTGAAAGTCACCACCGAGAGTCCCCCCCGCCGCGTATAGCGGCGCGGAGGGGCGGCTAAACTGGATGACTGGGATTCACGAGCAGCAGCTACCGCATCTCCTGCAGCTTCCTCCATTTTATTTGCTCGTGAATCCTAGACATTTAAAATTTACCCCCCCCCCCCCCCCACTTTCGGCCCTGCGCGTAGCGGCGCGGAGGATACTCTCGGCGGTGGCGGTATAATCGCCGGAAAGAGGTTCGCAATTTACATAAGACTTGAGGCCCTGTTATGGTATTTTTTTAGCCTCGATAATTTGGGACCGTTATTTGAAGGATAGCCGACATTTTTTCACCAGACTTTTGTAACGAGATGACCCATGAATGAGCATGGACTACTGTATCAGTAAGCCAGTGCAGCTTGTCACTGTACCGCCATGCTACATCGAACCCGACCATCACTGTTGTCTAAATCAGAGGTTTTCAAACTTTTTTTGCCACAGCACCCTTGTCGGATAAATTAATTGTTGTGGCACAGCTACCCTTAAAGGGGCTTAAATACTGGGGAAAATAAGAAGAAAAACAGTGCAAATTTAACGTTCAGTAGTTTTTAATCTTCTTCTTCTTCACGTTCACCGGCTGTAAACTGCGGCGAAAAGTTCAAGCTGTTCGTCCACTTCTGAACTGCAGTTCTGTCCCATAACCTGAATGTTGTGTGTGCAGCAGTTTGACAGATCTGACTAATTTATATGCAGACTGTTGGTTCCTTGCCTCTCAGGCAGATGCACTCCGACTTCAAAGGAAGCTCCCATTTAGTCAACTCTTACTCCATGCTTTTGAGTAGGCAGTGGGTCTACTCTTGTTTTCCCTATAACAGGGCCCCAGAACCCCCACAGGGGAAAAAACTGCTTGACCACTTCAGCAATCTGTTTTACTTTCTACACCCAGCACTTCCTACTCCTGCTAACTCTCTGGCAACTAACACCTACATGGCACAGGAAGAAGTTAGTCAAATACAATTATACAAACAACGCTATGATTTGATGGTTTATAATTTTATTATTTCAAATTAACATGTACTTGGTGCTGGTCTGTCCACCTGTAGTTTATATTTGATTCACTGGTTTATCCAAATGCCAAACTTTTTAATCTTCAACATATATAAAACACTGGCTGAGAGTGTACTACAACTAGACAAAGAAGAGGTGATCGCTCGTCTGCGGGAGGAGGTAAAAGGTCAAATAGAAGGATAATGAAAACCCATACATGGAGAAAATGATGCAGAGTAGAGCGTCTGCAGGTTCTTGGTATCACCCGAGACTTGGGAAAAGGCAACACCAGTAGTTAACAGGTACCATCAGTATGGAGATACTTAGATGGCTAAGAAGAGATGTCATATCTTTAGCTAGATGAACCAGATTGCATCTTTTTAAATCTGTAGTACAGTGTAGCTATCAAGCAGGTAATCGTCCAAAAGGACATCACTGACATATTTTTAAATTAAAAAAAAAAAATGCAGCCACGGCCATCTCATTTTATTTTTCTAGGGTCTACAGGTGTTGGGGCGCCATCAGTTTCTCCGTTGCATGATGGTAATAAGTAAAGGATCCCTTTTACCTTCAGTGGCATATGAGAGTATAATGCCAGATTCATCTCACTGTGATGGCGATAGCCTCAGTTTTACAGAGCTGTTTGCACTCTGTGGGCAACATCATGCCAGCCACCTTTCCTTCCCATGACTCTGCCTGGTACCAGTTTTAGACCGGGCCAACCTGGGAGCCAAGGTAAATGTTGAAAAAAAAAAAAAAAAAAAAAAAAAAACTGGACTGGGAGCTTGTCAACATTCTGAATTCGGTCTCATCTACTGTCAGCACGATCAACAGCAAGTTTTCAGACATAAATATCAACAGATGATTCTTTATCTTGTGCCACCTATGTAAAATACAAAAAAGAACAAAAATACGACAGCTCAAATCTATAACAGCTTCAAGATATGTAAGCTTTTTTATTTTACTAGGTAATTTTTCACTCAACAGTTTGCCATTGCTTTCTAAACGGTTGGTAGAAGCTGACTTCTACCCGACAATGATTGCCATTAATATGATTTACTGGTTACGTACCTATGGTGGTCATGGTTCATCATCTCACTCAATCACTATAATTATGGTACAGCGTGCTCTTGTTCTGCTTATACCATACAGTCAAGCAATCTAGATACAAAATGCCATTTCCACTACTCTAGGTGCAATATGGTTTATTGAAGGAAATGTTACCCAAAAAGCACGCAGAGGTCAGATATGCTGACCTCTGCAGTTTAATTTCTAGTTGTGAAATACTCTCCCAAAAAAGGAATGACAAATAAAAAATGGCCTACAAGATGATCAGCGTTTAATTGTGAATGTGACTACTGCCCAAGTCTGAACAAATAACCATCTGTACGGTAAACAAGTTCAACGATAAAAACAACACACCATCCTTCACCTTGATTAAAATCATTCAATTTGACCAACAAAATATATGAAATTTTCACACAGCAGATTAACAGCCACAATTCAGAAGAAAAAAATAAAAATAAAAATAAGACGCCCACCTCCAAATAATTAATTCACTTTATAGGACATACAGACGTACAATAACAGATGCTACCCCGTTTATAAAACTGGACATAAAAAAAGAGGTTGTCTGCTGTGAAAGAGTTACAATAATGATTGTGCAGCAAGTTACACTGCTTTCATGTGAGAGAAGTAAGAAGTTCTATCAAGGATACCTCTCCTCAAATGTCACTAGTATGCCAACAACTGTCAGCAGACAGGCAGTCTGGACCCAAGTCAGCCGACATTCGATCTAGTGTAAGAAGAGAAATAACCCCTGTGTGGGTTCTGGGGCCCCATTGTGGGGAAAACAAGAACAGACCCACTGTCTCCTCAACAAGCATGTCTTAGAAGTCGACTTATGGCAGACTTCCTTTGATGTCAGACTGCATCTGCCCAAGCGGCAAGGAACAACCAACTGCACACAAATAAGCCAGCAAAACAGATGTACAAGTAAAACTCGGATCCTGGCACAAAATCAAAGTCCAAATGGACCATACAACAAGGACTTTCCACTGAAGAATTAGAAGAGAAAAAAAACAAAACACTATCACTAGGATGTACTCTTCTAATGATCAGAAATCACCTGTGCTTGTTTTATTAATGGAGTTTACTGCTACTTGAACCGAGCACTTCTACAAGATGATTTTGATTAATTTAACCCCTTCACTAGCAGGAAATGCATCAAACATTTACTGACTACTAAACACATAGCATACATTTCTTAACATATTCTGACCAGATCTTATGTAACAATAATCAATTTCTACCATTACTGTAAGTCCTTGTGTTCCATAGCCGTGTTAGTTGAACATGTTAAGACGCAACCACTGTCCTTCTAATGTACATTAAGTTTGGAACAGACGGTGCTGGAGTAACTCAAATCTGGAACTTAAAGAGTCCAGGTAGCTTTTTTAATTTAAAAAAAAACAACATATAAATTCTGTGTCCAGACGAAATAAAATGACGATATTCGCGCATGCAGATGAAACATATCCAATGTCTCTATGTCTTACAAGAGAAGTAAACTAAAGGATTTAAAACAATTATTATAATGAAATACCATTTAAAAAGAACACACACCCCAAAACTGTAGTATGTAAACATTGACAGATGTGAATAACTGTACATGATTCCCCACCAAGTCCAGAAACACATAAGCACAAAAACTGGCTTAACTATAAATAAAAGAAATTAACCTAATATATGCAGTCAGTACAACACTGGTATTTCTATATCTGTTTTTGATAATAAAACATGGTACTAAAGAAACCTATCCTGGTCAAAAAATTTACTAAGCCCCCAAAATATCTGAGACTGCGGTCTGTCATGCCAGAGAAAAACCTGGCAATTAAGTGTACCATCCCTGTATCTGGTCTGGTGCCTCATCTAGAGAGGGAGGGGAGGGGGGGGGGGAGTGAGAGCAGTCCCATAGCCACTCTAGCAAGAATGTCTTAAAAGACAACTAAACAGTTTTGCTGAAATCGGATGTGTGGGGGGTAGAGAAAAGTGCAGCCTAGCCTTTAAATACAACATGCCAACCGCCTTAATATGTAAAAAAAAAAAAAAGTGCGCTAGTTTTCAAGTCTGGGAAATACATATTCTGTCACAATCAATCCACATATTGTAAGCTCAGAAACACACATATGAGACTTTAGCTTCTTAAGTGCAATGATACAAAAATATTTTGTATTACCTTGTTGTTAATAGATCATAAATGATTACTTATTTCTGCCAGAAACAATCAACAGAAACTGTTTTCTTCAAACTGAAAACGTAGCTCAAATGAAACAAGAGAATTCCCACACACCCCAAAAATCTGGCACGCAATCAGCACTGCATGATAATTTAACCCTACCACCACTGTCCAATCAAATCTCTTTCAACTGCTAGATAGCCTATTTCCATGATATTTCTACAATACTGCCAAAATAGTCCATGGGACAACCCTGACACTTTGGACAGGTCTGTAGCACTTGTTTAGAGCTCACGCTTGTGATGGTGAAGATGCATTCCACTGCAGACTCAGTCTTCTGCCTCTCCATCAGCCACATTTTCCGCCGATTCAACTATCGCTTTTCCGGCCTTCTTCTTCTTTTTCTTGGCTGACTTCTTAGATATTGATGTGCTCAGGATGCTCTGCGGGAGAGACGATTTGACACAAAGGAGTGAGAAAATAAAGACAGTCTTCAAGAATAACTAATATGGCTGTGAAGTTAGTTGCAAGAGACGAAACATGCACTAATTCTTCATTTGCCCTTAAAAGGGAGGCAGATATGCTATGCTGTGATTTACAGCTAGCCTGTGATTTCTACACCTTTCAGCCCAATACATTAAACATCATTTTTTTTTTCACTACATACTTGTTAAAGGGTAGTGAGTCTTACACCCCCCCCCCCCCCTTTTCAACAAAATGGGGCCCTACAGAAAGAAGTAGTATCCATCATACTAAAGATAGGAGGCTCAGCATGTTTAAATGTGTCCAAGTGTTCTAATTAAGAAGACATACACTTTTGCTTAACACACTAACTACAGAAGCAGGATTGGTATTACAGCTCTTAACTCACCAATCCCCACATCACAAAGTAAGAACAGGTAATTGGTAATTCACTTAAAACAGAGACAGAGCTAAGATTGGTAACAGACTTCTCCACGCGGGGGGGGGAAACAAGACCCACTGTCTCCCCCAACAAGCATGGTGTAGGTGTCGACTAGTTGGGGGTTTTCTCTAAAGTCGGAGTGCATCTGCCTAAACGGCCAACAACAACCAACTGCACACAAATAAATCAGTAAAATGGATGTACATGCAAAACTCAGGCCTTGGCACAATGCTAAAGTCTAAATGGATGATCAACAAGAACTTTCCGCTGGAGCTAATAGCTGATGTGAACTAAGAAGAAGGTAATTGATTTATCATAGAGCTTTGTTAAACAATTTTTTGAGTTAGGATTAGAAAGTTCATTCACCAGAGTTAAGATTATAGGGTTCATTTACCAAAGTTAAGATTATAGGGTTCACTTACCAGTCATGATAGGCAATTGACATAAAATAGTGCCATGATCAGTAAATAACTTACTACAGGTTTTAAAAGTTAGCTTACTACGTAATTAGGATTAGAAAATAGATATACCACACAGCTAGGATTAGAAAATGGCGATATGACAGAACTAGGATTAGAAAATAGACATAGCACAGAATTAGGATTAGAAAATGGAGATATGACAGAACTAGACTTAGAAAATGGAGATTTGACAGAACTAGGATTACAAAATAGACATACCACAGTCAGAATTATAAAATGGACTTACCACAGAGTTAGGGTTGGTAACAGACAGCTCAGTCTTGTAAATATCTTCCTCCAGAGGTAGACCAGTGATCTTCAACGGCCCATTAGGCATTAGGATGACCGTCTGCTTGTACTGGGCTACAAACTCTCCTGTGGGCATTACACAGAAATTACCACAGCAAAAACTGGGACAATTCTATTTATCTCAGAACTCAAATTATTGCTTTCCTGTGTGGATTCTAGGGGACAAATTGGTCAGGGAAAAAAAAAACAGACCCACACCAATTAACGAGTATTTAATAAAAGATGATTAAGTATGGTTTTGTAGAAACTGGATGTGTTGGGCCAAAGGAGGCAAATATCAAGGCCTAGCTGTAAACTCCAATACAATATAATAGCTTCCCTCTTTTAAAGGTGAATGCAGAAGAACAAAAACTGCTTGTATTTTACAAAATATGATGACATGAAACAATTATTCTGATGATACCAGCTCCATTTGATGAAAATCACTATGGAGATGTCAGCAACATAAAGTTGACTGCTACTTTCTTGAAATGTATTTGTAACAAATTTGTACGAAAAACTCTTTAAAAAAAACACACATACAACCAGTTTCATCCTTGAGCTGTGTGATGTGCTTTGTCAATTCATGAAGACAACAGAACTGTTACTGAAATATAGTGTATAACAAAATGTAACCCTTCTGCCCTAGAATACTGCTCACCTGGCACAGCTGCAGTGACTTGTCACTGAGAAGCCTAGTTAACCATAGTGGTTCTGTTTGCACCTGCACAGTGTTTAGGAGGCCCTGGATATGATATTTACTTATATGAAGTGTGTGTGTGTGTGTGCAAGCGTGCGTGCAGGTGTATGCATGTCTCTCTCTCGCTGAAAATTTGCTTGTTAAGGCCATTTTTATGCTGCACAACAAAAAATGTCACCCCATGGACTGCCAGGGAAAAAAAAAAAAGTTTAACTCTACTGCCCACTTACAGTCAATATTTCCTAGACTTAATCTTCTTCTTCTTTGCATTCACTGGCTGTAAACTCCAGTGGAAAGTTTTGCTTGTTCATCCACAACTGGACTTTTAGTCTTCTTCCAGAACCTGAGTGTTGCGCGTGCATCTATTTGACAGACATGACTCATTTATATGCAGCTGTTGTGATCCTTGCCTCTCAGGCAGATGCACTCTGACTTCGAAGGAAGCTCCCAATTAGTCGACTCTTACAACAGGCTTTTAGGTAGGCAGTGGGTCTATTCTTGTTTTCCCTACAATTGGGCCCCGGAACCCACACAGGGATAGACATAAATAACAGATGTTTTGGGTCAAGAACACACAAATCAACTTACCCTCCCTCTCATAAAGAACATTGAAAGGCTGCATAAGGTCGTGTTTGACACATTCCAAAACTCCCATTTTTGCTTTCTTCTCGTCCTCAAACGCCCTGGGGACAAACACAGAAAACAACAGCTCAAACATACACACAAGGCAAGCTTGTTACATCCAAGTTCCCTGTTTGGGTTTCGGGACCCCATTTTAAGAGGGAAAAAAAATACACACACTGCTCATAAAAAGCATGTCATGCAAGGAGACTAATTAATGGTTTGTGGGAATCAGAGGGGATGGGCCAAAACCAGATACTGCAGCTTAGCTGTAAACCACAACCTAACATGCCAACTGCTCTTTTAAGGGCAAATATAAAAGTTACATTTAGGTCAGCTATCTTCAACCTTCTTCAGCACAACCCCCCCCCCCCTTACAACAAAATGTGATTAAATACAATTTTTTTAAGGAAAAAAAACTTCACTGCCCCAGGAAGTAGTAAAATATAGCAGCTACTGGCAGTAACATTTTGTTTCCTTGTCGCAAGACGCCGCTTCAAGTAGACAAGATACTTTTGGCTGACATACCACCCCTTTGTGACCCTTCTATGTTTCTCTCTTACATGCGCCCAGTGACTTCATTTTCGTCATAAGACGCATTGAGAGATATCCCGGTTATAGCCTACGGTTGCTGTTTGGGGATTTTCCATTGTCCTACTTGTAATTCCCCTGAGCTTTCACGCATAAAAATATACGGCTAGTAACTCGGCAACGTAGCGGGGAAAACCCTGGCCAACACCGGAAATCCCGCAGTGAGACAAGATGGCCAGCCATTTTACTTCAGGTCAGCAAGCAGGTGTTAGAGCGGGCCGTTTTGGCAGAACTTTGTCTTTCTCGCCGCCTAAAAACCCTAGCAACATGACCATATAGTTACATCTAAATCCAGCTGCTGAAAAGCCGAGGACAGATTCCTTGTGGCAGGACGAGCTTCCAAACCACTGCCAGGCTGGTTGTAGCTAATGATTGGAGTGCCCTAAGGAAGATCTTGGTGCTTGGGACAGATCCGACATTCCACCTCAGTCTTTGAAATGGATGATCCTCTGGGAAACTCCAGGTGGTAATTGTTGTATGTTATTTCCCACTGATCCTCTCACGACGACAGTTTCATGTTACTATCATTTTTATCTTTCATCCTACTTAGTTTGAATATTGTATTTTCAAAAGTAAATAGATGATTGACTTTTACTTTAATTTTAATAAACATTCCTATGATTGATTTAAACTCATAGTTAAAGTTTAATTTTATTTCTAGATGTATGTATGGTGTCAGTGCTGTCTACCAATATACATATTCTAGATGGGGGCTTAATTTTATTACCAGAAAGGGAAATTGTCGGGAGGGGTAATCTGCTCTGTCTAAGTGTTTAGGCATCTAAATTCCCTTATCCCTTTTCTGGGGATATTCAGGCAGCTCACTTTCTTTAGCGAGCCAATTCGAGTCTGTATCTGAGTATCCAGGGACACTGTCTGCTCTTTGTACCAAAAGACAGTTGTCTCGGTTTCTAACAAGATAACACCACTTTAGTGTGTGTAAAAGGAACCTGTTCCACGACATTCCTAAAAAAAAATTGTATGGATTAACCAAACACAGAGAAAATGTATTTTTACCGTAGTGTAAAAGGCATCAGTGAAAATTTCTTGTCTGTTTCACTCAAAAATTCTGGGGAGAAAAATGAAACAGATTATTTATTTAATATAAAAAAAAACTATTAAGCATGTTTTAACAATCAACTGTGATGCTGTCTCTATTATATAGGCCATCTTTACTTCCTATAACATTTCCTGTAAACGCTCAAGACTCAGTCCGTCTGAACACTAAGATTCATGCTAAAAACAAATTCCTTTTTTTAAAACCGGGGAGTCACCTATTGGACTGGCAGACTAGCATGCTTGACACTTCAGCCCAAACCTACACACACACACACACCCACCACCCACCCACCCACACACACACACACACACACACAGAGAGAGAGAGAGAGAGAGAGAGAGAGAGAGAGAGAGAGAGAGAGAGAGAGAGAGAGAGAGAGAGAGGGAGAGAGAGGGAGAGAGAGAGAGAGAGAGAGAGAGAGAGAGAGAGAGAGAGAGAGAGAGAGAGAGAGAGAGAGATAAAGAATAAAGAGACTTCTAAAGTCAAATCAGCAGTAGTACTATCATCTTCTTATGTCCTTTATTCCCCAACTCAAACCCTCAATTAACTGGTGTCCAGTCACCCAATCCTCGTTTTAAATTTAATTTATACTGCTGTTTGCAGTGCAAAAACTGATAAACAACTGTAACACCTACAAATAAACTACAAACATTCATTATCCGGTGCCTGTGCAGAACAGATTGAATTCAATGGTTTTAAGGAATAACTAATGTGGAGACGCAGAGTAGAAAAATTGGTAACTATCACATTTACAAACTACATTCATTCATTAACTGGTGGCTGCGGATAATAGAAAGAAATGAAATGATACAACAAAATCACTCATGTGTAGCTGTGGGGTACGACTAAACTAATTCCCAAAAATCAGGAGCCAGACACTGTTTATTTATTATCAACATGTGCCATGCTGATAAGTGAAGGCTGCCATGTTTCATCATCTCACACAATCACAGATCAGGTCAGTGTTCTTGTCTCACCCTCATTCATATGGCCAAGCAATATGGGTATTTATCTCTTTACTTTCTCCTTGCTGTCCTTCCATCTTTTCATCAATCCAGCTAGCTATAACCAAACTCTCAAGTCCATTCTTTCTGTAACATGTCTGGAAAATACAGACTTCAATGTCTAAATTCTTTCTAATCAGTTTACATCTTTCGTTTGTCTCCAGGAGGACTGCCTCCTTTGTTACCCTAGCCTGGCGTATCTCTATAGAACTTTTATATGTTCCCTGTCATGATGATCAACCTCTGCCACTTATCTCAGAACATCTATTACTGTCATAGCTAACTTACTATGACATTTAACAGAGCAACAGCATTTCAGTCTCTCTGTTTTCTGTGTAGTAAAGGGTGGGTTAATAATATGCTAAAATATTTCTAGCTTGCCTGTGCATTACTGGGTCTGATAATTGAAGCAAAGTATAGCAAAAGATGTGACTATCATGCAAGGGATAAGAGACAATTAAAGAGAATTAATGTGAGATCAGCTACCTCATCTTATAGGATTAGAATTCTTTAACCATAAAATCCAGCCAAATGTCGATTAAAGGTTTTGATATGGGTTGAGAAGACAGAAGAATAAGATGCTTACAGTTGAGAATGTTCTAGAAATGATCATAAACTGTGATAGTGGGTCTTTCTTTTTAAGAAAGAAGACTTACGTCTGGATGCTTTCATCTTCAGCTGATAAACGATGTCTTTCTTCTTGTAGACTGTTGTCCGTGTGTCCAGCTCTCTACCCTGTAAGAATCAGGCCAGAGTTAAACTTAATATACCTTCCCAGCGTGGGAGCATTTTTGACACAGTTCAGACTCAGCAAATGGGTAAGACTGGTCATGTGATAGTGATCATATCATTAAGTTGCCCGTGTGGGTTCTGGGGCCCCATTGTGGGGAAAACAAGAATAAATCCACTGCCCACCCAAAAAAAGCATGTCGTAAGAGTCGACTAATTGGGAGTTTCTTTCTATGTTGGAGTGCATCTGCCTGAGTGGCAAGGAACAATCAACTGCACACAAGCAAGCCAGTAAAACGGATGTACATGCAAAACTCTGGCCCTGGCACAAGACCAAAGTCCAAATGGACGAACAACCAGGACTTACAGCCAGTGAATAAAGAAAATGAAGAAGAAATCATTAAGTGATATTTTTCACATAAATGTGCGTTTATAATTTCATATAAAACATACCAGATTGGTTATTTAGCATTTAAATCTTAATAGTGACACTGGTAAACCCAGGATCAATTCGTAGCTGGGAATATATTTGTCCTCATGAGTACATATAAATCTAAAGTTTACCCAGTATTGCAAAATGAATATTAGAATTTCCTTGGGATATTATGATGGCTATTTGGTAACACAGTTACCAGAAATTTTGTAACTTTTACTCTCAAAGACTCGGTAACTGTAACTCTCAAAGTCTCTGGCACTTATCAGTGTACTCTTTCAATCAACCAAAAAGGCACAGACATTGTAGCCTAGCTGTAAACCTCAATTTGCTAACGGCCCTTTTCTTCTTCTTCACATTCACTAGCTTAAAACCCCGGCAAAATGTTTTGGTTGTTCGTCTGGACTTTAATCTTCTTCCAGAATCTGAGTGTTCCATATACATCTGTATACAGACTCTTGGTTTCTTGCCTCTCTGGTAGATGCACTTTGACTTTGAAGGAAGCCGTCAGTCGACTCCTACACACATGCATGCTAGGGAGGCAGTCGGTCTATTCTTGTTTTGCCCCACACCGCGGTCCTGGAACCCATACGGGGAACTACCCTCTCAAAAGGCGAACACAGAAGATAATAAATCAAGCATATGTTACAAGTAATGTCTTAGCAGTCACTGCACAGAAACTGAAGCTCTCAATACATTTTTAAAGTAGCATGTAAACCTCACCAAACTGCCAACATTCACACAGCACTTCAAATTTCCAAAAAAGAACTACCATCACTGCATGCTGAAGGACAAGTACATTGATGCTCACATCTCAGAATTTATATGAGTGTACGATGTCTGATCACATTAGTTCGCAGCAAAGTACATTTTCAAGGCAAGTTCAAAATGGATGGTAGTTGTTTTTCTCATTTCTCAATTTGGTTTGTAAGACAGAACAAACATTAATGATACAGTTAGCAGGCACCTACCTTACCGTCCCCAGAACTGACAAGTATATCTATAGCATATACTTCATGGACCTCAAACTCACACGATTCATGTTCTTTCCTGGAAACAAGAATGTAACTGTACAGAACTGGGCACCTTAAATCATTTCACTAGATACAAGACAGATCAAAAGCTACACATGTTTAAATTTGCTAAATCAGAATATATATGAAAATGTGGAATATCTGCCACTACCTAAAGACCTGAAGCTGAAAGACAGAAGAGGGCCAGAAAAGAAGAAGAACCAAAGACTACGGACAATACTAAACACATGAGAAATTAGAAGTTTGAGAAAGAATGCAAACAAAACCAGAAGAGATCCTGTGAGAACGAAGACTGAAATGGTTCGGCCGTCTAATGAGAATGAACCCAACAATGCCAGCAGTGAGGGTACACAAAATGAACTGGAGACGCCACGAGGCAGAGGAAGACCTAGAAGAAAACAGACTGAAGAAGTCACCGACAGTTTAAGATCTCACAACATACCAAACAATGCTGCGTCAGTTCCTGCAACTTTCTGACTATCAATGCAGTTCTCTCTATTTATTTACTTTTTTTTTACTCTTCATCTTATCAATCTCTAATAACTTCAAACGGGTAAAAAAAACCCAGTCTGCTGTGGATTTAATAGTTTTGACAAAGGGCGGGATTCCCTGATGCCTTATCAGAATCAGGGTTTAAAGTGATCAAGATCTATTAACACTTTTTCCGTGTTCATCTTAAAAGTTCCCTACCAGGGGCCTGGCAAAGTTAGGCTAAATAGATGTTTTGTTCAAAGTTATCAAGATCAATTAACCCCCCCATCCCCTCTCCCCAGTCATCCAAGAAACAGTTCCCTACTAGGAGCCTGGCTAAGCTAGGCAAGATAGATGTTTCCTTCAAAATCAGGATGCGGCTGCTGCCGTAGAAGCAGGAAACCAAAGTGTGGGCACAATTGAGCCAGATTTGTAAAACGGATGTGCATGCAAAACTCAGGTACTAGAACAAGATCAAAATCCAGACATGGACAAACAACCAGGACTTTCCTAGAAAGGCAGAGGGAAAAGGACGATGAGGACAGCAGATGAAGGAACAGTTTGGACAGTATATCAAACACAGTTAGGACAGCAGGCAAAAGAATCAACCGGGGCCGCAAGCAAAAATAATTTAACCAGTAGGTAAACAAAAATAAATGTCAGGATAGTGAGATTATGCAACTGAACAGTGGGCAACAATAAAAATCGCTACTGAAAAAAAAAATAATTTAAAAAAATAAAAAGAGCAACAATTTCTGGAGCAACAGGTCAACTAGAAAACAACTGCCACAACTTACCTCTGAGCCTCAGAAGGGTTCTGTATAAAAGCCTTTTCCCCATCAATGATATGCCTCTTCAGTTGGTGTGACAACATGCCTGAAAATTGATATTCAAGCAGAAACAAGTAGCTCCTGACTTATAAAATATGCACTTTTACTAGTGTTACAGCCTTATGCTTGTTTTCTTCTTCTTCTCTCACAGTTCATAACACTGACTCACCAGTCTGTGCACTTCTGTTTCATGTGCTACCATTCTTTAAGACAGATATTCCTCCAGGTCACGATGACTGCCTTAATTGTGCCATCCTGAGAGACTGTGAACATGATATTTCTGACTGACTCAATCACAGAAATGCTGCTTGCCAGCATTTCTTCTATGTAAAGTCTGTCCTTAGGAAATCTAGTCAACAGCATTTGGTTCTGTTAGTGCCTATGCAGTGGTCCGAGGATCGGATATTAACATGTTTATTTAAAAAAGCATGTGAGTGGGGGTATTGTGAAGACAATTACTTTTAAAAGCCATATTGATGACATAATTTGACCGTAGTTTTAGTGTTAAAATTCTGACAAGGTCAAGGTAAGAGTAACCTGATTCATTTTTAGGCTCTAGATAATGTATTTCATTTAATGCTTCATTCTGTTCATTTTTATTTAATTGCTCTTTTAAAATATTTCTAAAATTATTTATTTTATGTAGATAAATAAATGTTCAAAACTTTTATTTGTGGTCCATGTCAATAGTTGTTTTGTGAAGAATTCTTCTGGAATTCCTAGTGGTGCCTGATTAATTTTGTTTACAAATTTGTTGTGTGTGTGTTTCCAAAGTAAAATGGTTAACATGTTCTTTCTTGGTCTGCCGTTCCCTCTCAACACTGCTACTTCCTTGATGTACTTCAGTTGTTGCCTTCTCTGACCTACTTGGCAATGGCCCACCGCTGTAAAAGTTTAACTACCACTGTAAGATGAATATGGGGACCCTTAATACCACTGAAAGGTGAAGAATAGGGGTATACCAAATTCTCTGCCCTGGTTGGTTTGCGAGAAAAATAAAAACTCGTCACGTTCAAGCACATCCCTCAAAAGGGGACCCTTTGGTTATAATTGTGACTAGGTTATGTGCACCATTTAGAATGGCTTAATGTTCCACACCACCAAGAAGACCCGAAAAGGACTCCTACAGTGTTGATGCGATCATGTGAGACAGACCCAAATAGTGTCACGACCGGCACTGAAGATGTCTACCGGGGCAGCCAACAAGCGACCCGGTCGCTGATGATTCTCTGTCGCACTGAGATAGAAACACGAAGACATTGCTTTTCTTTTTCACGCTCACCAGCATTAAACTGTGGCAGAGATGTCCTGGTTGTCTGTCCCCTGCTGGGTTTTGATCTCCTTCCAAGACTTTTTTGTGTGCACATCCATTTTCCAGATCTGGCTTATCTGTGTGCAGATGGTTGGTTCCCAACCTTCCAGTCAGATGAACCATGAATTAGAAGGAGATGAAGACACTAACTACTAGGAGAAAGTGGAGACATCTGGACACACAGTCCTCCAATACAGGAAGGTGGAGACACAGGAACATGCACACTTCTCTATTATATCAAAATGGATGGATACATGGGGACACTTAGTACCCCAAGAACGTGGAACAAGGGAGATATAAACTACCACAACAAGATGAAGACACACACAAAACTCCAACTGAAAGGTGAAGGTATGGAGACACACAAACACTCTTCTACCACAATAACTCCCTCACCTCCACATGGGAACACACACTACCACAGTCAAATGGGATAGCATTTAGATTTAATTGTTAAGTCCGACTGACCAAAGCAAATAAACAAAATAAAAGAAAGGTTCCAGAAACCATTCACATCTATAGTTATATATTCAGTCTCTGAGATTACCTATGTTATCAGGAAAGGCTAAATGCCGGGCATATTTTACAACCAGTGATATTCCCGACGATTCAAAAGCTGTCTTCAGGCAGTCTAGTCTAGAAATATATAGACACTACTAAATGATCCAGGTAATGGGTGTAATGTAGCTTTGCAATAGAACCCGTCCCACTGTGGAGTTCCCAAAAAGGAAAGAGCCGATAAACTAACTAAGTAGCAGTCTCTTATCAACAGAAGAAGAGAATAATCAAATCAATCAGAAAGCCACCAAAACTGGCACAAGACGATTACCATTTTATGGACAGACCAGAGCAAGTTATTATTCAATCTTAAACATGGCACAATCGACTTCACAGCCACATGTACACAAGATTTAAGATTGGCAAATCAACCACGTTCACATGTGGACTGGCACCTGGAAAAACATCACATCCTTTAAGTAAAAAAAAAAAAAAACTGCCCTAATTACCACTTATGCGGTGTAGGCAGGGGGTTCTTTCAGCCTAAGGATTTACGGCCGCATGGCTAGTGCTACCACCACGACTGTGGTAGTGAGGCTTTTATTTTGCCATTGACAGAAAAATCCCTAGCCTTGCCGAAGATTCGAACCCAGGTCTCACGCTTGAGAGCCCAGCGTTCCAACCGTTTGGAAAGCTGCTCCTCACATTCTTCAAGACTGTCCCAAATACAACATTTCCAGGCAACATTTCTGGCCAAGAGAAACACTGGTGGGGAAGCTAAACATTATGGGCCGCTAATTGAATTAGAAAAGTTCATGCTAGAGACAGCATTGCAGATATTGATAATTTATTCCAAGCAAATAAAAGAATAATAATAAGGAAAGGCTACTAACCCTCAATCGGCTTGCATTTGAAGTCCTCTGTGACCTTCTGAATACCATCTGTCACTGCGTAGTTCTGCAGTCAAAAAACAACAATGATTAAGTTTCTAAAAAAAAAAAAAATACTTAAACGCAACCCAAAGGCTTAAAAGGCACAGCATACCTGGTTTAGTCTCAATTAATATTTTTGACTGCAAACAGCTCTGGGCATTTTTAGACTTGGCTGACCTGGTAGAATAGGTCAATTTAAATAATTTACCTCAATGACGACTTGACCCTATGACTGCTGTACTAGGCACTCCATCATAGTAGATTTCAATAAATCAGTGCTCACACAACACGTAAAACATCAACGTCTTGCTGGTTGCTTCTTTGAGTTTTACTTTTGCCCCTGTAAGAAAACACTTTCATCACCTTCCCAAGGATTTGATCCCGGGTCTCTCGCATGAGAGATATATTTTTTTAAATGACCAAAAGTTAACGTACAGACAATCTTACAAATGTTTTAAATTGACAATAAAAACAATCTCTCCACTTTCTCTCCTGAAACCTGCTGCAGAGAAAAGGAAACAACTTACAGTATTTCCAGGCTTCACAAGCCGCAGCGCCACCTCAAGGGCTTTCTGGGCTGCCACCACCACATCAGCTCTCCTTCCTGTAATTGGGTTGTCCTAAACGTAACAAACGTAAACAGTCTAGAACCATCCTGGACACCAAAATCAGAAGTTCACAATCCATCATTTTAAATACATTTTTAAAAAAGACTACAGCAATTTTAACTATATAACGTACAAATCTTAACTGTAATAAAATTACTTAAAATAACATAATAACCACCTTAAAAATAAAAAGGATGACACAATTATCTGTTTAAAAAAAAAAAAAAAAAAACTAACTAACTTATCTGTCACTTGTCCCAGGACATTACTGTGTTGTGCTTGTTTACATCACAGTTGTGATATTTATGCTTTTCGGGCTAATGATCTCTTTCATCAGCAATTTGCTGCTCAGGTTAGCTTTGTGTAACACTGCACAGCCTTACTGTCTTTATCTCACATCCTGGTTCTCTCACCCACAAGTGGCTCCCCTCCAGAGCATCCAGCTAATGCTGGACAGAACATTAGCTTTCCCCCGACATTCAAGGAAACATCCATGAATGCAGAGTCACATTTTTTTTTTTTTAAAAGACAGGTGTGTAACAATTTATTAAACGCAAGAAAAAACAATGTCTTAGTATTTGAAATCAACAAACAACAGTTCATGATTCTAAAACAGAGTCATTCACAAATCATGGGCTGTCTGCAATATCCTCTGCCATTTTCTTTCCCATCACACTAGAACAGCAGTGAGCTAACCATAGCAATGTCTGCTGGCCCACAAGGCTGGTGTAAAATTACTATATAATCTGTTGCTCCTGAGCTCAAAGCATAGCAGAAAACAAACACAGACAACAAGCAGACAAAAAAATATACAAGTATCAACATCCAAAAAGTGATAACCAGAAACTGATGTCGTCAAATCTTTCTTCTTCGCGTTCACCAGCTGTAAACTCTGGTGGAAAGTTCTGGTTGTTCATCTACTTCTGGACTGCAATCCTGTTCCAGAACCTAAGTGTTGCGTGTGCATCCGTTTTACAAATCTGACTCATTTTTATGCAGACTGCTGGTTCCTTGCCTCTCTGGCAGATGCACTCCAACTTTGAAGGGAGCTCTCAATTAGTCGACTCTTGCGACATGCTTTTGGGTAGGCAGTGGGTCTATTCTTGTTTTCCCTATAATAGGGCCCCGGAACCCACACGGGGATAAAATCTTTGATCCTGTTAGTAAAACGTAGATTGCGGACTAACTCAGACACTAGCAGACAGTGTTTGTTGGTAGACTAATAACAAAATATACAGTGGTGACAATTCTTTTGTCTCTGGTCGGCAAGTTTAAAGATCAAAAGAGTGTGGTAATCTTTCCATATTGTTCCACAAAAATATTGTGTTAAAATGAAATCTGGGTGATATGTTTATAATCATGTTTTTTCTATATGGCCAGCGACCAGAGTGGTAATTCCAAATTTGGCCTGCACACCCAATAAAATCTAACCACCCCTGCGCAATGATTTCTTATATTTCTCAGAGTTCAGGCTCGGAAAAACTTCTCATATTTCTTCGGTGTAGATTTATGCTGAGCTAAGAACTGACATCACAGCATTCTGGATATTCTCATAAACTCTCTGCCCTCGTCTTTAACAGTAAGCGAAAAGTTACAACCCTGGCGGTACCAGGAGTCGTCTTATTATATTCCATCCTCTCTTTCCTCAGAGTGAACAGTGTCAGCGAGATCAACTGTAGGTCACAAGTGAGGAACTTTTTCTTCCTGCCAAGGACTATTTTAATATTTGTGAGCAAAACTAAATTTTGTTAACACTTAAATGTGATTCTCTTGGCAGGGTCAGATCCAATGACTCTGCTGGCTTTATATGGCTGGCGGGTAAACATTTCACACCCCTGATGATGGTCCTTAAAGCTTTCTTATACTTCTTCAGTCTCCCACAGTCAATGCTAATGACAATTTCATGAGCCAGTGAGAAATTACCTTTGTTGCTCCAACAACAGTTGTGTGGGCTACAACAGCAATATAACCGTCAACATGGGCCCCCAGGTCACTGAAACAACATCACGTTACATTGGTTAGTTGTTAGCAATAAAATATGAAGGAAACATATGTTGTAATTTTGTTTATAAAAATGGTTATAACTTTATATACAAATAGATATTCATCAAAACTGTACTGTAATGTTACTTACGAAGTATGAGTGTTTTAATGTTGTTTATAAAAATTTTACTTTGTTCACTTTTATAACTGTGTAATCTTTAAATGAAATAATGAGATTCTTTTTCTTCAGCATTCCGAGCCTTTGAGGTTCACTGCTGCAGATACACCTCCATCCATTCCTATCTGTGCTTGGCCTTCCTTGTCCAGTTGTTGACTCCAAGTGTTTGTATGATTATTTGGTGCCATATTTTAAAAGAAATCAGATTCGCTTATAAACAAAACTGCATTGTTTCATTTCATAATGAATATTACAACTACAAATATTTTATCAAATAAAAACAATGTCAAGATAACCCCATGAGAGACTCACATTTTAACAACATCTCCATCTTTCAGAACAACCTCGGGGTCTGACTTGAGGGGTGAAAAATGGCAAATGCAGTTGTTGACGGACACACAGGTTGGAAATGCAATACCTGTAAGAGAAAGTTACAATAACAGGATAAATACAAGAAAGTTATTGTATAACAAACTAAAGGTTATTTTCATTCTTAAGCAGAGAAACGCTGCGTCTGGCCACTTGGCACTATAGTGAAAGCCCAGCTGTTTGGATAAGCGAAGGACATGTGTCACCCCACAGCCTTCATGAAGGCCTGCAGCCTTCCCATCTGAGATGGATAACGAAAGGAAGAAACTCCTCCCAAGTTGTGTTAAGTGATCATAATCATCGTCTTTAAGTGCCCTGCATATTGGCGAGGATGTTTCGGCACATCTTGTGATGTCTAAAAGAAGGTATCAATTTGTATGCTGACATCTTTCTGTGCTAAAACAATGAAACTGTGATATGATAAATCTTATTTTTCCTAGCATTCACCAGCTGTTAGCTATGGCAGAATGTCCTTTTCGTTATCCACTTCTGAACTTCGGTTTTGTCCCAGAACTTGAGTTTTACATGCATATCTGTTTTACAGATCTGGCTTAATAGTCTGCGTGGTGTTCCTTCCTCACCTCTCTCTCGGACAGATACACTCTGACTTTGAAGACAACATATAAAAATATTATCGCTTACCTTTCTTCATTTCCTTATCTTTCTTGAAGACTTTTGATGTTTCCTCATTAAGGCGGTTATCCCCATATTCACAAAGCTCCAAAGCTGTGACTCCTTCTTTACATTTAGAAATCAATTCTTTCAATATGCCTGCAACAATAGACAAAGCAATAATCAATCGCATTTGTTATAACAATACTAGAACAGGCAAAATATGATCAGCAAAAACATCAGACAGCAATAATTTCATTCCCATACTGAATCCAACCAGTGTTCTGTGGCATCAGTAAATTCTTCCCAACTTCTTCTTCTTCTTTGCATTACACTCTGGTGGAAAGTTCTGGCTGCTCGTCCATTAGTGAACTGCAGTCCTGCTCCAGAACCTGAGTGTTGCGTGTGCATCAGTTTTACAGATCTCATTCTCTTGAATACAGACTGTTGATTCCTTGCCTCTCTGGCAGATGCACTCCGACTTTAAAGGAAGCTCCCCAATTAGTCGACTCTTACGACATGCTTTTGGGGAGGCAGTGGGTCTGTTCTTGTTTTCCCCATAATGGGGCCCCGGAACCCACACGGGGGTATTTCTTCCCAACAAATTGTAACTACAATAAAAATTTTAGTAAAGAAATTAAAAAGTCTCACAATTAAGGTACTAGCCCCATTTCTTCATCTTTGTTACCGTATCAATGGCTGATTGTGTCATACGCTGAAAAAGACCTCCTAGCCAGTACCTTTATTTTGTCATTCGTGACTGTGGCATTATGAAGCTGACCAGTTCCACTTCTCCCTTGGATTTAAATTTTTTTATAATCTTCTTCTTCGCGTTCACCAGCTGTAAAATCTTTTCAGAAAGTTCTGGCTGTTTGTCCACTTCTGGACTGCAGTCCTGTTCCAGAACTTAAGTGTTGTGTGTGCATTTGTTTGACAGATCTGATAAATTTTTTGCAGACTGTTGGTTCCTTGCCTCAGGCAGATACACTTAAACTTTAAAGGAAGATCCCAGTCAGTCGACGCTTACGACATGCTTTTGGGTAGGCAGTGGGTCTATTCTTGTTTTCCCTACAACAGGGCCCTGGAACCTACACAGGGAACTTTTTTCATAAAAAGAAAGTACACAAACGTCTGGCTAGATGCTTGCCTGATGGCCCAGCTCTTGTTTTTCCTATATTCACCATGACTGATTTTTGTGCGACAGACCTGGGGTTTCAGGCTGACCCAGCCTAAAAGTGTTACCAGAAAAATACCCTAGGAAGCAAAAGTTACTGCCATGATGACTACTGCATTTGGTCTATAAGAATATGGGTCTAGTATCACATGCCCAACTTGCCAATGGCATGAATCAAACCCCTCAGTTCATAAGTGCTTGGATCCCCTCCTAGGTAAATCCTGCAGCGTGTAGTGGCTGACGACACCAGTTCTGTGCTGGTTTATTATTCTTCTTTGGTTACCTGTGTAATGTTCTTGTTTGACGACACCCCGTTTAACTTGCTCTTTTTGCAGTCTGACCACGGTTGCAGATTCAGTTCTCAATTGGTTCACCCAAACGTTTTAATTCTCTTAGAGCATTCAGTATATAAGTCTGGTCCATGGCTTGTCCGGCTTTCACAATAGCCTTACCTGCAAGTCTATCAGCTTGTTCATTTTCTTGTTCCCCCACATGTCCTGGCACAAAAATGAAACTAATCCTTGTCAGCCATGAACGCTGAGAGGCTCATTATGCAAAGTGAGGTTAAACAGTCATGAGCAGGACATGACGATTCCTTGGGTGAGCTCAGTACCAGAGCATCATGTACTGACTGCATTTACGGAAGGCTTCTTGGATGGTGAGAAATGCTCATAATCTGCCCGGCCTTCTCTTGAGAGCTTAAAACCCATCCCAATGTGGACACAATTGTTTGACATTACAACCCCTCCCCGCCCGGATCTCAGGTTACCTTGTAAACTTTGGGGGCCCTAATATAACCTGAACCTTGAGCAGAGTTTCTGGGACTTGACCTGGAGAATTCTCAGCTCTCCTCCGAATAATGGTCCCAAATGATCTACGCAGAAAGTAAACCCAAACAGAGCCTCATTATGTCCTGCCCTACAAACATTTAAAAAGTGCAGCTCGGAAAAAATAAGGAACGAAAAGTGTAAGAAAAAGGGCAAAATCTACTGCTTACTGAAAATTAAATCCTTTATATGTGAAAAGTGTGGCACAGAAGTTGCAAATAGTGCACGAATATCTGTTCTGTCTCGCTGTCCGCCATTGCAACTCAGCATGGCTTGTCCGCGATTCTCGTTCCGGGTGAGACATGATCAGTAATGCATGGTTTTATGTACGCGCATGTCCCCTCGGGACAACTTCAAACCAGCTGCCGCCACGATGGCGCTCCACTATCCCGACCACCCCTTGACCGTGGTGAATACGACCACGCTGGTACTTCAGACAGAAGTAGCTCCTGTAAATTGTAGACTTTTTTTGCGGCGACTATAGTGCCACCTCCGAGAGTATTCCCCGCGCCACTACGCGCGACAGGGGCTAAACTAGATAGATGGCTAGGACTCACGAGCAAATACACTGGAGGAAGCTGCAGGAGCTGCGGTAGCTGCTGCTCGCGAGTCCTAGCCATCTAGTTTAGCCCCTCTCGGAGGTGGCACTATAGTCGGCGAAAAGCGGTCCGCAACTTACACAGAACTCGGGCCCTGCCGTAGGATGGCGCTATCGGAAGTATTCTCGCATGTCGCTAATTTTTTTCGTCCGTAGTTAATCCTAGTTTTGCCGCCGTAAAAAAATCCGTTGCGTTTCGCGAAAATGTCGTGCGCAATTAATCCTACTTTTGACACGGTTGATTCACCACAAAAGAAATGCGAATTTTAGATATGAGTGAGGCTCTGTTTGGGTTTACTTTCTGCGTAGATCATTTGGGACCATTATTCTGAGAGCCGAATTCTCATTCGAGTAATGATGCAGTGCACTTTGCGTTATTGGGTGTTAATTGCTTCGTGTGTGATCTAATGGGGTTAAATTTCACTTCTCTTCACTTGATGGCTGACCAGCAAGCCTTAACTAGCTGCTCTGGTCCAGCCTGATTAAAGGGAGGTGGGGGGGGGGGGGGGGGGGAGACCACCTGTGAACTAGGAAAGAAAAAAAAGATAAACCACACAGCAATGGTTTTATGACACAAAATGGGATGGGTGACAAACAAACGCCTGCAGAAGTCGGATGTGTTGACTGAAAGACACAAATATTTCAGCCATGCTGTAAACGAGCAAAAAGTAATTACATTTTTAAAAAACCATGAACGCAGAAGAATGAAAACCCGAGGCACTCAAGTTTTTTTCCTTGATAAAATTCTCGGCTCTCCTTTAAATAACGGTCGCTAGCTGGAAAGCGGACGGTCACTTAGTCGGAGTGCGCTCTCTTGGCTGCATTGCAAATACGGAGCGTAAAGAGGGAACGAAACAAATGACATACTTACCTGTCATCATACGGTTGCGTAGGGTGTAGGTTAGGGTTACGGTTAGATGTGACAATTTTGACGCAGGAGTTCCAAATACTGGCCGACAATCTGATGCTTGTGGGAGTGGCGCCACTGGACTTCTAAATATGACGGTAATAGGGCGCGGCTGGTGCCCAATTGATGGCGATTTGTCCGTTTGAGTAGCATCCACAGTCCTTCAAATGTTTGGGTGTGTATGTCACTGTGCGCGATTATTTGGAACTCCTGCGTCAAAATGTTCACATCTAACCCAAACCAAAATCCTACCGCTAACCACGCAAACTTATCGGTCATTAAGGCATACAGATCTGCAGGAGTCACATCCGTGGCAACTAAGTCGCACGTCGCAAGAACCTGGTTGCTAATGTGAGTCGGAGCTCGATGTCTAACTGCCATGTTGACTTTGTTTTTGATTCGTGACTTTTCCACTCCGTATTTGCAATGCAGCCAAGGGAGCGCACTCCAACTAAGAGACCGTCGGCTTTCCAGCTAGCGACCGTTATTTAAGGGAGAACCAAATGCTCAAACCCTGTATTTTTTCATTAACTATATGGTGTATGATAATTTACTATACATCTAATTTAACAGTAAATGAATATATTTACAGAAAGATTAAAAAAAAATAATCTTGAATTAGTGAGTCAGACATTGAGAATTTAAGAATTAGAATTAGACTTCAATATTTTTTTTAAAGCTCGGTATTTTCAGTACACTGCAAACCACTGGTACTTTACATCATTATATATAATGACAATGTTATTACCATTAACCATATCTCCGGCCATTTTATATTTAGTGACAACCACATCGTTGGCTGGAGTGGTTTCCACGTTTTCAGGTTCTTCGGCGTCTGCCATTTTGCCTGTCTGAACCCGGATTTTTTTCCCCGTTAGGCCGAATGTAGTCAGTTTCCGGTTTGAGCCCAGACTTGGGTTGCCAAGGATACAAGTGGGAGGATAACATCAGAACAGAACGAAATAGCGTTTTTTTTTTTTTTAACTGTATTCTCCCACCCCCTCTTAATTTTTCTCGATTGCTATTCATTCATTTGATAAGCCACTTTTTAAAAAATCTATATCTTCTTCGCATTCACTGACTGTAAACTTAGGCGGAAAGTTCTGGTTGTTCGCTAACTTCAGAACTCTACTCACTACTACTCATAATCTAGAACCTAAATGTTGCGTGCACATTGGTTTTCAGGTCTTATTCATTTGCAGACTGTTAATTCCTCGTCTCCCAGGCAGATGCACTCCGACTTCGAAGAAAGCCCCAAATAGTAAACTCTTACGGCATGCTTTTGGTTAGGCAGTGGGTCTATTTTTGTTTGACCCCACAATGGGGCACTGGAACCCACACGGGGATTTTTTTTTTTTAAATCAACACACCGGGAAGGAATACAATTTACCTTGTTCAACTCTTATTCTGAAGAGTTCATTCTTCCCCGATTATCGGGCATGATCAAAGAATTAGATCGTTATGTCAAGGATTATTTTTTGTTGTCCTCGATAACATCCGGGGAACTTCTCCCACTTGTCGCAAATGTTAAGAGCTCATTTTACTCTCGAATGGTTGTTCCCCAAAGCAACTATAGAAAAATGGCAACTTAAGTCAACTGGCAAATGTGCTGGGAGAAGATTCAGGGGAAGACACACAGATGAATACCTGGATGGCATCGGTGCGTGACATTGGCGTGACGCACTCTTAACAATATGACACATGATGATTTGATTTAATTCAAGAACCGACATCATAGCACTCGGGGCATTCCCATAAGCGCTCCGTCCCCATCTTCAGCAGCCAGCGAAGAGTTCCGATACTCATGGTGCCAGTAGCATTCTGATTAAACGTCCGTCTTGCCTTTCCTCTGAGCCTCGAGCATCTGCCAGAACCTCTCCTCACTCCCCACTGCATCAATCTCACCAGACTGTAAATGGCAAATGATGATGCTGATGATGGACTGCAACAGTCAGTGAATTAACTAATTTAACGTCACTGAGTGTTGCGTGTGCATCAGTTTTACAGATCTCATTCTCTTGAATGTAGACTGTTGGTTCCTTGCCTCTCCGGCAGATGCACCCCGACTTCAAAGGAAGCTCCCCAATTAGTCGACTCTTACGACATGCTTTTGGGGAGGCAGTAGGTCTGTTCTTGTTTTCCCCACAATGGGGCCCCGGAACCCACACGGGGGATTCGCGTTTATCAGAATGAGCTCGGTAATGCAGTTTTCACAATATATATATATTTATATGTAACCAGTGGAACCTTTCATTACCTTCACTAACTCCGTAGCTGGACTAAGATCATACGCACACACACACGCACACATACACACACACACGCACGCACGCACGCGTTCGCAAACACACACACACACACACACACACACACACACACACACACACACACACACCACGCTGGCGTCTGTTTCCTAAAGAAACACTGAATATTTCTGATACTGCGACATTTGAAACAGGAACATGGCAAGAAATCACAGGGTCAAGGTCATCATGTGTTTTGTCCGCAAACAAATTAGCTTTTCTTTAACAGTCAGGACGTTGCAGATCTAACCCCAGCTGCCCAGCATTCTTTATGGCTGTCTGTGACACTAGGCAATTGTCAGCAGTAGTTTGCCGTTGGTTCTCGATGCAACTGTCGGAAACAACACAAGATGGTCTGATGCTAAATCGACCGCAGCTGGGATCGAACCCAGAACTTCGGAATTATGAAACGCGTTCTCAACGTCTAAGCTACAAACGCAGACAAGCATGGATAGATTTTATTTCGCCACCACACACAGTCACCAGTCCCCGCCTAGATCTGTACTCTTGTCTAATGGTGGATTAACACGTGTATTCTTATTCTTCTTCGCTTTCACCGGTTGTAAACTCCGTTGGAAAGTTCTGGTTGTTGGTCTACTTCTGGACTGCAGTCCTTCTATTCCAGAGCCTGAGTGTTGCGTGTGCATCCGTTTGGCAGATCTGACTAATTTGTATGCAGACTTGTGGTTCCTTGCCTCTCAGGCAGATGCATTCCGACTTCTAAGGAAGCTACCAATTAGTCGACTCTTACGACATGCTTTAAGGTAGGCAGGCAGTGGGTCTATTCTTGTTTTCCCTATAATAGGGCCCCGGAACCCACTCAGAGACCACGTGTATTTATTTCTCTGTCTCCTCGTCGCTCTTTTAAAAAAAAAAATAAACATTATCAGTTGTCACTAAACTTTCTCCATATGAGAGTTCCGTGTCTCCCAGGAAAAAAAATAGCTGCCCCCCGGACAAACGTGTCGTAAAAGGCAAATAAAATGTTTTATGCGAAGTCCATCTGTGCTGGGATGAGACATGGGAGTCACAACCAGGCGGCAACGACGAGTGTGACTAACAAAACCCGCTAGCAGTCATCGGTAATTAGAGTATGAGATTTCAGACAGTATGATTACCAAGAGAAGATGGAAATGGCTTGGCCACGTTATGAGAATGACTTCTGATATACCTGCCAAAACAGCTCTCACATGACACCAGAGGGAAAGAGAAAACAGGGGCGCCCAAAAACAACATGGAGACGAACGATGGAAAGTGACCTGAGTGCGGCATCTTTGACATGGAAAACTGCAGTGAAGATTGCACAGGACAGGAAAGCATGGAAAGTCCTCTCTGAAGCCTCGTGTGCCACTTGGCATAACGAGAACTGATGCTGATGATTTCAGAACCGTTGTCTCCATATCGCATGCATTTATTTCTTTTGCGCTTCAAAAAAGGTGTTTAGCAGGCGGCGTTACGGTTTACATCTAAGCTGAGTCATTGCTCTAATACGACTCTCTGAGTTATAGTGACACCATAAAGAAGGTTATTAGATTATATACGGTGTTGCGATTGCATGCCGCTTACAATTACTCCCATAGGACCGCTTGTAATAGGTAAAGTTTGAGCTTCTCGAGTGTAGTTCAGCAAATCCAGCCTTCACAGACGCCAACGTTAAATGAATAAGAATATATTATTGAAAACACTGTAGAGAGTTTCAGCAGTGCTTTAGCACTTGAATGACAGTGGTATGTTTTACACAGGTCCTTCTGTATATAATATAAATAGAGAAGATCGTGGTTTTACAGTGTCTAAAAACCGGGACAGGCAAGCTTGAAAATCTACATAGAATATGTGAGTGGAAGCAGCTCAGCAGCTAAAGCGTTTACCGTTGACATTTTGGTACTGTATTTGAATATAGGCGCCTAGTCGGTGTAATAGTTGATATGGCGTTTGGCCTGTTGTAGCAACGTGTACCGATGTCAATAAGTGGTTTTATTTTAAAGGTAAGGATTACTGTATATGGATTCACATAACTTACTTACTTATCCTCTTCTACCTTGAGGTTTAGATGTTTACCAGAGAGATCGTCTATAAAGCAGTTTTATTTTTGGCTTTGTTCCATTCTAGTCCTCTGTCAGTCTTCTGACATTCAAAAAGGTATGCGTGACGTCATGTTTGTGGGAAAATATTCTCCCACACTATCTGTGTCTAACTGCGTACTTTGTCTCTTCTTGTCACTCGGAACACCTTTCTCATATATCTCATTTCTGAGGTCTGAAGTTGGCGTCTGTGAGCTGTTGTCATTGCCCATGACTGGCACTCGTAGGTCAGGACTGGCTCATAGGCAGAGCAGTAAGTAGCCATTTTCGTCTTCTGGTCTATTTCTGTTTTGCTGAGAGCTCCTCGGTTTATGGCATGGAAGTCTCATAGCAGCTGCTTTTTGAGAAGCTAGCCCTGTCTTAATATTTCCATTCCGGTCTATTACAATTCCAAAAGGAAAGGGGGGGGGGAGGGGGGGCGGTTATCGGGGATTCACCATTCTGGTATACCATTCCTCCCTGGCACAACACTCATTCCCTGTCCTCACTGCCCAAGAAATTTTCGGGCCCGCATCGGCCTCATCAATCATCTTCGTACTCATACTTGATGAAAAAGAGTGGTCATCATCATCTTGATGGACAACACACACACACACACATACCATTCAGCATGAAATACCTAAATCTGGTCTCCAAGTGTAGGTACTGGGGCCCCATTTGTTGTGCGGAGGGGGGGGGGGGGGCTCACTGTCCCCTAACAAGCATGTCGTACAAGGCGACTAATAAGGGTCGGCTTTTTTTTCGAAGTCGGAGCTAACAGACAGCATACAAAAAAGCCAAACCTGTGAAACAGATGTGCACACTTAACGCAAATTCTGGAACAGGATCAAAGTCCAGAAGAGGGCGAACAACTAAAGCTCTCCACCGGAGTATACATACGGTGAACGCTAAGAAGAAGAAGAAGAAGAAAACGAAGAAGAAGAAAAAGAAGTAGGAGAAAAAAAAGAAGAAGAAGAAGTAGTAGTAGTAGTAGTTTTAGTAGTAGTAAGTAGTAGTAGCAAGTAGCAGCAGCAGCAGTAGTAGTTGTAGCTACCCGTGTGGGTTCCGGGGCCCTATTATAGGGACAACAAGAATAGACCCACTGCCTGCCAAAAAGCATGTCGTAAAAGTCGACTAATTAGGAGCTTCCTTCGAAGTCGGAGTGCATCTGCCTGAGAGGCAAGGAACCAGCAGTCTGCATGCCAATGAGTCAGGTCTGTAAAACGGATGTACACGCAACACTCATGTTCTGGAACAGGTCTGCAGTTCAGAAGTGGGCGAACAACCAAAACTTTCCGCTGGAGTTTACAGCTGGTGAAGGCGAAGAAGAAGAAGAAGTAGTTGAAGCAGCAGCAGTAGTCGTAGTAGAAGTAGTTGTCGTAGTAGTAGTGATGGTGGTGGTGGTCTCAAGTCAAACTTTCAAGTTGCAGCGGGGGTGGGGATGGAGGTTAATGAAAATGAATAATGAAGCACAGAACA